GGGGGGGGGGGGGGGGGGGGGGGGGGGGGGGGGGGGGGGGGGGGGGGGGGGGGGGGGGGGGGGGGTAAAAGTGGAGTAGCCTTCACGAGGATACGTTGCGAGGATAGTACGCTTGGTTTCACTAGAGGGTATGGGGTCAGGTCCGGAGTTAGGGATTGGGATACGAAGGCCTCCTCTGTATTTCACAGGTCAAAAGAATAAAATGATCCTCGCCAAGGCGGATCGTAACCCACTGGGTAGGTATGAGGTAAGAACGTTTTTGCCCAGCGTGTGAAGATGACAAAAAATATCAACAAATGCCACCAAACAACAGCAGTTTGAGAGGAACGGCGAGGCTCGACTGCTGCTGCCACTGCTGCTACCGGCAGCGTTGATGTTCGAGTGGCAAGTAGACGATGCGCCGAGAAAATCAGGCTTGGCATACCGAGTCCGGCGCCGCGCTCCATCAGCCCGAACTTAACACGAAAATAAACTACCAACCAACCAAATTTCGTTCCAGAACGACCACAAAAAAAGAATCCTCGAGGACAAAAAGAGTGCGCTTGCTGAGCTCAGTGCGTTCGGAGTCCAGCGAGTACGGTCGGCAGCAGGTGGTATGAGAGCTGTTGCGTACTGGGAGGTATCAAACAACGTCATTTCAGAACCAAGAACAACCTCAGGGGTATTTCTCTCCGCCTGCCAAAAAGTTCGGAGAGCCCCCCCCCTCCTACCGTGGTCCTGACACCCGAGAGAAGTATTTTCGCGGAACCCCTCCCCCCTCCCTCCCCGCAGCCATGCCAAGGGGGTGATACCGTTGGTACATGTACTCTCCCGCGCCCGGCCAACTTAGAGAGCAGAGACGATCCGGTCGTGAGTCGGCAAACACACCCTGGTTTCACACGAAACTCAAACCGGGGGGCAACAGCAGCAGCAGCAGCAGCAGCAGAGCCGTCGCCGCTATTGACAATACCTGAGTTTCATCGTGCGACAGCGCGGTGAGCTGCGCCGGCTCGAACCGCACGACTCGCTTCTCGAACACGCCCGCGAGATCAGCGTCCAGCGGTTTCAGCTGCTGCTGCTGCCCATCGCCGGGCCTGCCACCGCCAGCGGGGCGGAAGGCAGCGCACAGGTAGCGGGTGAAGCCCTCGAACCTGTCTTTGACGATGTCTGATGGCTCCTTGCTCGACCGTCTCCCACCACCGCCGCCACGGGGCCGACGGTCGCGGGGCCGGCTCGCGGGGAACGCGAGGGGATCGAGCGCCGCCTGCACCCATAGGTGAAGAATCTCCCACTCCCTCCCTCTAAGAGTCTCTAGCAACGGCGGGGCCGGACACGGGTGGGCCAAGGATCGACCAACATGTGCGTTGCTGCCGCTGCCGCTGTCGCTGCCGCCGCCTTCTAGCACCAGGCAGAAGAACGCTGCCGCGAGTAGGCGCTGCTGGGGCATGAGAGGGTTATGCCCCATCCTGTACACCTCCAGGTACTTGTCGCAGGCGCCGGTCAATCCAGAGCCACAACTACCACCGGTCCCGCGACCTGCCTGACTACCCCCTCCACTGCCGAAGCTGCCGCTCCTACCGCCGCCGCCGAAACCGCCGCTGTCGCTACCGTTGAGGGCCACCAACGCCGCCGAGGCGTGCAACTCCAACACGGTGCCAGCGTCTACTATTGAAGAGTCGGTCGAAGATGGAGAGGGGCCGGCGGTGGCGGCACCAGACATGCTCGACGATCGACCGGCGGCGGCGAGACTCGACCCAGCGGTGCCGCCACCGCCGCCAGCCGAAGTTTCCGTTCCTGCTCCACGAGGGGGTCCTGCCCCCCCCGCCGCTGCCCCTGCTGCCGCAGAGGAGGAAGAAGACAGCACTGACGCCGAAGCCGAGCCCTGAGCGTAACGAGCGGCCGTGTGCGTCGTCTTGAGGATCGCGTGCAGGTGAGGGAGGACGTGCGTCCGCGCCCCGTCGGCAAGGGACCGCCGAAATTCCTCTTGCTCCTTCTCAACCGCCGCCGCCGCCGCTGCCTCGGCTTGCTCCCTCGCCGCCGCTTCCGCCTGCTGCTGCTGCTGGGCGCTAGGTTGGGGTGGGTCGGCGCCGCCGGCACCACCATCCAAGAGATCCTGTAGCTCGGCGTCGTACACCAGTGACCCGAACTCGTCTTCGAAAATGTCGGCCCCCTGCTCCGGCTGATTCGCTCCTCCTGCTCCTGCCGCCACCCGCGCTTCCCCACCGCAGTCTACTGTCGGTTCACCCGCGCGGTTACTGCTGCTGCTTCCACCGCCGCGACTCGAGCTACCGTCGGGTTCCAGACGCCACAAGCCCATCGCGTATCCCCGACGCCCGCCTTCCGTTTCGAGGACGCCGTCCGCCGGCGGTGGCGGCGGCGGCGGCCAGCAGTGAAGCACGGCCGACATGACCATGGAAAGGGCTGAGCTTCCCAGGTGCTTCGAGAAACGCGTGTCCAGCGCGCGCCCCAACACCTCAACGAACGCGCCTGCTGCAGCTGCCGCCGCCGCTGACGACGACTGGGTGGCGCTGTCGCCGGCAGCGTTGTTGCCGGCGGCGACTTGTGGCGTATTTGCGGGTGGCGGCGGCGGTTCCGACAGCGGGCCGAGGTGACGGAGGGCCACCAGGATGCAAGACACTGTCAGCCCGATCACGGCTCTCGGTCGCTCCAACCTACAGCACCGCCATCGCCATCGCCATCCAGTCACGCACAAGTCGACATCGCGACAAGTGTTGTCACGGAGGGAGGGAGGGGGAGGGGGAGAAGGGGCAAAAGGAAAACACGACAGTTCAGAACAAAAAACAACGAGGCGGCAACAAGGCTTGCGGTAGCACAACAGTTTGTTGTTGTTTGTTGTGTCTCACAGTAGCTCTATAGTCCACAAAAAATAGGGAGCCCGTGGTCTTAAACCCCGGCACATCCGACGCCGCGGGGAAACAAAACAAAAATAGGGTACAAGCCACTCTGAAAAAGAAAACAAAATGATAGAAAGAAAAGAACAGGTATCGCACCGACCGTTCGAGAAACGAGCCCTCGGAAACCGATCAAAATATAACAAAAACAAAAAATAAAGGAGGACGCTTCCCACACCCGCCCAAAGAGAAAATCAAAGGGTAACGTACCAGCACCAGGCACTACGCACCAGGGCATGGGAGTAACGGAGCAAATAGGACAAAGAGGCGGCAGATGGGAAGACAGCCAGACGTAAAAAATCAAAGGCAACAGCAAAGCAAGATCAAGGTACCCAACACAGTAGAGTAGGCAGGGAGGTCATGAAGAAAAGAATCACAGCATAGAGGCCGAAGGCAATACAAAGGACATACATAAAGGAGTATATCATAGAGCATGGAGGGAAACAGGGCGCAACAACATCAGCCGGGTACATAGTTCGCCACAAGTGCTGCCTCGGCCGCCCTACTCGCTTCTACAGCAGTGCCCGGTCGCCGTTTCTTCCCCCCCACCGCCGCTTCCCC